CCTTATAAAAACCCCCACCTCCACTGAGAGGGGGAGATGGGCTTTGAGACCAGGGTCCCCTGTCTCCCCAGGAGATGGACTTTGAGACATGAGTCCTCACCTTCCAGGTGGCCGGCACCTGAAAATAAACCAGTTGCCTTTACATCAGCACCTGCCTCTCCAGTATTGACTTTCGTAGCGGCAGGCGGCCAGACCTGCGTTTGGTTACAGATACAGGTAGATAATTAGTCTTTTCCTCTGGATATCCTCAGGAGGTCCCTAGTGGCCTAAGGACTAACACATTCTACTCCCTCTTCCCCCCAAACCTCAGAAGAAACTAGAATGTTTGAGAGTACCTTCTTCCTAGGGAGTCCCATTGGTCCCCTCTATCTGGAGCCGAAGGAGATTGTCTTTTCCTCCCCTCTTGGGACACCTTAAAAGAGGTGACTCAGGGAGCAGGGGCATAAGTGGGTAGGTGACTCAGAGCGTCTGGAGGGGGAATGTGGTCTGGCAAAAGAAAGGCCTGCTTCTCGAATCTTGAGCTCAGAAACTATTCCCTGGAGGTCCCTTGAAATCTAAGCCTGGGCCTCAAGGTTCCTGTGGTGAGGCTGGTGATGAGGGCTGTGAGCTCCTGGCTCACTTCACCTTCCAAAGCAGGCCTCGGAGCTGCCTGTGAAGCTGAAGAGAGGTCCTCGATGGCTGGGGAGCCATCCATTGGCTTCTCTGCCTAAGGGAACTGGGTCCCAATTCCTGTCTCCAAGTCTCTCCCAGAGCCCTCAGGGTCACTGCCAATCATCAGGGCAGCCACGCAGAGCTGGGGGAGGGACCCTCTTGATGGTTTGGCAACTAGCATACAAGAAATCAGGACTTGCAATCTCTCTGGGCAAGGGGGAGAGAGAGGGGACGGGGCTCCATGCACCCACTCCCAGAACACACACACACACACACCCTCTGGGCACCCTGCCCATTGCTCCAGCCTTGCCCAGGATGGCCAGAAACCTCTCCAGCATATCAAGGGTCTGAATGTTGCCCTTTCTGCCACTGTAACCACAATTCTGACAGTAATAACAAAAGGGGACCTCAAATGAAGCGGCCTGGCTATCCTGAGAGAGCATAGGTAAACCAGGGGAGTCGATAGGGCGTTCTTTCTTGGTCCTCGGTGTGCAAGGAGGAGGAGAAAGAGGAGTTGCCTAGGGTCGAGTGAGCGGAGGCTAGTAAGCAGGTGCATCCAGAGGAAGTATAGTACACACAGACCTCGGAGATACTGCAGGTCTGGTCCAGATGACCGAAACAGTGGGGGCCACGTGAATTTGCTGGTTTCCCAGTGCCTATAACAATTATGTTTACACTACACTGTAGTCTATGGAGTGTGCAATAATGTGTCTAAATAATGCATATATCTTAATTAAAAATACTTTAATACTAAAAGATGCTAACCATCACCTGAGTCTGTTGGAAAAACGGCACTGACAGACTTGCTTGACACGGGGTTGTCACAAACGTTCAATTTGGAAAAAACGCAATATCTGCAAAGCACAGTAAATGGAGGGAGGCCTGGAGGGCCAGGCAAGCTGGCCATCATTCCCTCCAACACCTGGAGGGCAGGGACCAGAGGGGGCGCAGGGCAGGCCTGGGAGGAGAAACAGAGACAAGAGCCTGGGGACCTGAGGCTTGAGGATGCAGCTGTGGGGTCTCCAGGAGTCAGGGCGGAGGAAGGCAGGGCTGCCCCAGTCACACCCAGGAGGGAGGCCTGGTCTGACCCCGAATCTTGGCCTTATCGGGCTCTCGGGCTCTCTCAGCCACCCCCAGGCCTGGCCTAGCTCCCCACCAGCCTCACTTCACCCTGGTGGAGAGCTTTCTCCAGAACCCTTGTTTGAAGTTCCAAGTCAGCCGGCCCCACCCTAACATGAAATCTGAGACTGGGGATAAAGCCTTCCGCTGCTCTGAAAAATCACTCCAACTTCCATAGAAGTGAAATACATCAGATTGGCTTCCTAGCATTCTTTAAGGCCTTGACCCAGCCTGCCTCCTCCAGGAAGCCCCTCAAACTTTCCTAGCCTGCCATGATGACTGTTTCTCCCTTCAGCCTTTGGGGCCCTTCCCTCCAAGGTGGCACATATGAATCTTGGTTTGTGCTGTTGGTTACTTCCCCATGTGATGTCCCCTCCTGGACTGTAAGCTCCCCGAGGGCAGGAGCCATGATTACATTTCTCTGTATCTCCCACAACATCAGGCTCAGGGCCGGACACATATAGGTCAACTGAGTGAATAAGTGTCACGGAGACAGGGTGAGGGAGACTCTCTTCTCCCGAACCTGAGTCTGTGCTCTCAGAAAACATGAAGTGAGAGTGTAAGGAACAGAAGTCAGGGGGTAGACAGCTAACATTTATTTGGTGATCATTTATTATTCATTTAGTGTGTGTTAAATTCTCCTAAGTATAGTATACATGTTCTCAAATTTAACCAACTCAATGGAAAGGTGTATTATCAGTTCCACTTTACAGGTGAGAAAAGCAAAGTTCACAGATGCTGGTTAACATCCCCAAGGTGGTACAGTTAATGACTTGTGGGTCCGGGGCTGACAGCCTCCAAAGCCCAGGCTCTGTCTATCAAGCCTCACACCTACCCAAGCCCAGTGAGAACGATGACAGCTAACGAGGTTTAGCCACAGCCCAGCAGGGGTGAAGAAAGAGGGGCAGAGGGATTTGGTTTCTCCTCCTCCCGCAGGAAGGGGCTCCTATTCTGCAGTTTGCTGTGATCCATCCACCCAAAGAGGGGCTCCTTGGGGTCACAGTTCTAGCAGCCTGCCCCCCCCACAACCCCATGTACCACACAAAGGCACTTCTAGGACCCCAGGGGCTGTGCCACTGCCTCTGGCTCTGGCCCTGGCTATCTCCGGACAGGCTGAGGTCAGAGACAGGAAGTTGAGGAACTGTTCTGCTATCTTTTGCCCTGTGTGTTCTCTTGTCCCAGGCCGCCTGTTCAGGGTCATTGGATCAAGCAAACAGTCAGAGCACCCAGCCATCTGGTCACTGCAGGGGCAAGACCCCTCTGGGCCTAGCAGGAGGGAAGGGGTTACACAGGGTCTTCATGGAGAAAGAACACACACATGCACCTCAAGGCCTTGACCTCTGCTAATAACCCTCCAGTGTCTGTGGACTGAGGGAGCCCATACACAGCATCTGAGTTCTCTGTGCTTCCCCCTTTTCCCCCAATTTGGTGGCCCACAAGGGCAGAGGTGAGTCCCCCTCCTGCGCTGGCTTCTATGACTTTGACAGCTGTCTCCTCCGTCCTAGAAAGCCACTGCACTGGTGGGGACTACGAGACACTTAGGGAGCATGATCTCAGAGGACTTCTCAAAAAACTTTTTCCTTCCACTTGGGTGGGTGGGGTCCTCCGGAGACCTGCTCCTTGGAGATGCAGGCCACCCGCGACCCGGGCCGCCCAAATAGGCTGGAAACCACCAGTGTCCTGGAACCAGACACTAGGGAGAAGGGAAACGCTTGTGCTCTCTCTGTCTGTCTCTCCCTCCCTCCCTCTCTCAGGGGAGTTTGGCCAGAAAAGTTTCCTGCAGGAGGAAAAGCCTCCTTGGCCGCAGGTCTCTCTCGGGACCCAGGGAGCTGACCCCCAGGAATCCTCTGGGAAGACAGGAGGCAGAGGCTTCCACAAGCAGCGCAAAAGTTCAGTCCTGAAAGTCCCCCAAACTTCCCCTCCCTCTTTCCCTCCTTCTTTTGTTCCCCACAGCATTGCCAACCAGGCAGCTCCCGGCTTCCCACACCGGACCGTCCTCCCCCACCCGAACCCCGGCCGCTCGCGCCTCCAGCCCGGCCGGCCCGCGCCGGCCCTCGCGCACCGCAGGCCGCGGGGAGGGGGATGCCTACCCGCCTTGCAGGGGTCTTTGTAGTTGAGGGGCTCCGAGTCGTCTTCCTCGCCCAGGTCGTAGGTGTAGTCGGCCAAGTCCAGCGGGCGCCCGGGGCGCGGGAGCAGCAGCAGCCCGAGCAGCAGCGGCAGCGGCAGGCGGGCCACGCCGGGCATGCTGGCGGCGGCGAGCGCGCGGGCGGCGGCGGGCGCGCTGGCAGCGGCGGTGGCGGCGGCGGGTCGCGCCCGGACGCGGGAGCGGGCAAGGGGAAGCGGAGCGCCGAAGGCGAGGGGGCGGCGCTCCCTCCCCGCCAGCCGCTCCCCCCGCGCTCCCCACCTCTCTCTTTCCCTGCGCCCGCCGCCCTCCTTCCTGTCCCCCGCCCCTCGGCCGCCAGCTCCCGGCCCGCTCCCCCCTCCAGTCTCTCCACTCGCTCCCTTCCCTTCTTTTTCTCCTTCCTTCTCTCCCTCCCTCCGTCCTTCGCCCTCCCCCCCCTTTAGGGAAATGAGCTCGCTGGGGGGCGGGTTTTCTCCGGGAGCTCGGCCCCCTCGGAGTCGGGATGGAGATCGGCCGGCTCCGGCCGCGCGCCAGCCAGGGCGGGGAAGGCGAACACCGGGCCCGCACTGGGAAGGGGCTTGGGCCGGGGCTCGGGACACGGGACGTGGGCCGGGAAGGGGTGCGAGCCCAGAGATGCCGCCCGGGCCAACCGCCCTCTAGCGGCGCCTCTTCTGTGCGCGCCCCGCCCGAGCTCCCCATGGTGCGGGACACGTAGTCAGGTCGCTCGCGCCGCCTCTTCCTCGCTCTGTCCCTAAGTGTCTGCCTTCGCTTCTCAGCTTGCTTCTCTCTGTCTCTTCCTTTCTCGGCCATCGCTCTCTCCCCCCATCTCGGTCCCTGTCCTAGAGTTCTCTCTCTCTCTCTCTCTCTCTCTCTCTCTCTCTCTCCCTTCCTCCCTCGGGAGACGCCACTGGGGGGCGCTTAAAGCCCATGGATCCCTCCCAGGCCCCCTCTCCCCCCAGCACCCTGAGACTGGGAGACCGGGAAAGCCCCCGTTGCTCCCCAACGCCCTGCCTTTCCCCTAGCCCGCCCCCGCCCAGAGCAGGACCGGTGGGGGTTTGGGCGGAGGGAAGAGGCACACCCTTTGTTTTTCAATCAGGCTGCTTTATTGTTTTGTGATAAGGCCCCCCTGCCCCCTAGGAGCCACCTCTCTGCTGGCTTCCACCTCTCCCCACAGCTCCCATTCCCCAGGGCTAGTGCCACTGGGGTGGCAGGCACAGCTCCCTGCTTGTTTGTCAAAGACCCTTTGCACAGGGAGCTTTCTGTCCCTTTTAGGCTTCCGCTGACTCTGTGAAGCAAAGAAACACTGTTTATTCTGTGAGGGAGAGGAACTGGGGGCGGGGGGCATGTCTGCGGACCTTCCCTCCCCTAACCTCCCTAGGCGACTAGCCTCAATGGATCCCCCTCGGCCAGGCCAGCTGACAAAGCAAGGTGGCCCAGGCCCTCCTGGGCACTGGTGCCCCGGTGGTTATACCTGCTCACCTGAGGGGTCCTAGATGTAGTAGAGGGTCACTTCACCACATAGGGTGCTCAGGGCGGGGCCCAAGAAGTCCAAGTTCCTGGAGGACACTGAACGGGTATCGCGATCCTCCTCCTGGCCCAGCTTAGAGGGAGGTGCTGCAGGCTTGACCTGAAAAGAGCACCTCGTCTGGAGACTGGGAACTGAGTTACTGTCTCACGCACAGTCCTTAATGTAGGACTTAGAAGTGTCAGGCAATCTCTCTGAGCCTCGATTTCCTCACCCCTTGATAGAGGCTGTACTGAGGTCAGAATCCCCCAGGTGGTTGTGAGTCCAGCTGAGGCCCGCAGCTTGGTGGAGGGAGGGGCGTGCTGAGGCAGTGCTGGGGAATAGGTAGGGTAGGTGTGGTACAGATGAGTCTAGAGAGAGGCACTTACCTGGCCACCTACCAGGAGCAGTGCTTTACAGGTGACGAATGGCCACCCTCTCAAACGCTCTTTCCAGAGGCTGGACCTGGGAGGGAAACAGCCCACTCCTCACCCTCACACCCACCTGGAGGTTCTGCAGCTTTCTAGTGAGAGCCTCCAGGTTGGGGATGCGGTCCGGAGCCATCTTCACAATGTAGCAGCAGGTCCCCGCCGCCGGCTTGTAGGCAATCAGGAGCTGGGCACAGGGACCCCAGGTGCATTCAGGAAGGCCCTGCCTCGCTCACTCTCTAACCCTCATCCTGGGCCATCTCCCTCTAGATTGGGCACAGGCAGGAGTCATATTGGAAGCTGGGGTGCAGGCACATCTGGGGGAGGCAGGAGGGCTGGGGGATGAGGAGAGATGGGTGTGTGTGAAGTGGCACAGCCTTCTGGGTCTAGGAGCATCTTGTCATTGGTCCCCCAGGCCCCAGGTCAAGGGTTCAGACATACTCACCCGCTGGTAGTCGTACACCGCGATGCCCATGGAGCCAATGGGGAAGGTGGCGGTGGTGCCTGCGCGCTCACTCAGGGCCACACGTTGCTGGGTTTCCGGCCCTGCGATGCTCATCTCTAGGACCTGGGGGAGGGCACAGTGCTGCCTGTCATTGCTTTCCCCACTTTGGTGCCCACGCTCACACTCAATCCTCTGTACTCAAATGAAACTCCTTCTTCCCTTAGAGCTCAGAGGCTGAGTGGAACTAGCGTCTGGAGGGACCAGGCTGGCCCAGGTGGGGCAGGGCAGGGGCCTGGTGGAAAAGCCCAGGCCAGGTTTGCCACCCTGTCCCTGCCTCTGTCCTTCCATGAGGTGCCCCTGGCCTCCTCCTTTCCTTCCTCTTGGGCAGTTTTCTATCTGCCCAACACCCCCAGCCAGCCTCTCTGACACGTCCAGTACCCGCCGCCCGCCCCATCCCAGGCCTGCTCACCATCTCGGTGTGTTTCTGGCTCATGTGAAGACCCATAAGCAGAGCCCCCACAATCACCACGACGACAAGGACCACTACCACAACCACGATGAGAAGGCGTTTGAGGTGCACAGGGCAGCAGGGGATGCCAAACCGGCCCCGGGGGGCTGCTGAGTAGTCCTGATGTAGTGGGGCAGGGAGGAGACAGGGGTAAAGTCATGGGGATGCCCCTTCTCCTCCCTGCACACCCTTCCAGGGCTGGGCAACCAATGCCGCCAATGCTATGGGTGTGCAGAGGAGGGATAAAGAGATCAGAGAAGGCTTCCTGGAAGAGATGCCCTGGATTCCAACATACTCATAGATGGTTAGAGCGGGGTCTAGCTTGGAGAGACCCAGAAGAGCCTGCTTCACCAGTCATACCTCCTGCTGTTTCCTCCAGACCCCTGGCTCCCCAGCCATGCCCGGTCCCTCTCCGTACCCTGAGTGATCCATGCTCTGTCATGTCTCCATGACTTTGCACCTACCACCCCTCTTCCCGCGGTGCCGTCCTCCTCCACCTGGGAAGGTGGCTCCTAATTCCCCTTCTGGAGTCAGCTCGAATGTCAATGTCATTTTCTCTGTGGAGCTTCCTGTGACCTCCCAGGTCATGGCTCCCTCCTCAGTGCCCTCTTCTGCTCTTTCTGCCGACCTGTGTGGTGGCCCTCAACCCCTTATACTGAAATCCTTGGTGGCCACTTCTGTCTCCCCAGGGGACTCTGTCTTAATGGTTGATGTCCCTGCCCTCACTCAGTGCAGTCTAGGTGGGTCGGGTGAATGCATTTGGATGAGGAAACCGGTTGGAGGAGGCAGGGCCCACCACCCACAAGTATGCGTACACACACATCACACTCACCGGCGGGCTCTCCATTAAGACCTCTTTGCTGCCCACATCCATCTTGCTGTAGGCACCTTCCCCTCCTCAACTCCCAAGTGTGACTAGGGTCTTATATATGCCAGTAGGCAGAGGGGACAGAGGTGAAGGACTTGGCCCCCATCTGTCAGCCAAGCCCTAGGCTTTGAAGCCTGTTTGTTCCTGGCCCTCAGGACCCAAGGCCCTGATAAGCCAGCTGCAAGAGCACCTAAGGGCCCTTGGCCCTGGCACATGAGTCCTCTTGGCCCGAGCAAGGGCAAAAGCTGGGTGAGCTGAGCAAAGTTGCCCTTGGGCAATCTGTGCCTCTTGTCATTGTATCTTCCTGGTGTGCCTGCCTTTCTTGCTGGCACCTGTTCCTGAAGTTCTGTGGCTTTTCTTGTTCTTCTGCCAGGCCAAACCTCTCAGGAAGCCAAGAGTTGGACCTAGCGGGGAATCCATCACTTCTCCCCACAGCATGTCCCCCAAACATAGGGGTGAGCTCCAGGAAGGGGAGGGAAGGAGATAGTACTGGGGACCCAGAGAGGGCATTGCTGAAGGCATCGGTGTGGGGGTTCCTCAATGGTCCCTAAGCTCTCTGGGAGCAGCAGGTTTCACTTCAAGCACCCTACCTGCCTTTCTGTCTCCCACACTTCTGTCCCGACCTCAGACCTGCCCCTAGCCCTGCTTTTCGGAACACTGAAAATTCAGTCCCCTCTGGTCACCAATTCTTACTATTGTGAGGTTTTTCATTCTTTGCTATGAGGTCGTTTGAAAGCTGAAGGCTTTTTCCCTCTGCTTTGATTTCATTGACATTTATTTTATGCTGAGTTTATTCCTGGGCTAAGTTTTTGGTTCTTCCATTTCTTCTGGGATGTTCGTTGTTGCTGTTGTTGTTTTTCTGGGCAATCTCCTCTTCTGGTTCAGGGACAATCTGCTCTTTTTCCGGAAGGATCAGCTCTGTGTGGCGGGGGAGCTCACGTGGGGGTCCACCTGCTCAGGAGCTCTGTGAGTTACGTCTCGTCTCGGGGGCTTCATTCCCGCGGATGTGCTCCATGAGCAGAGAAGCTACACCGAAACCCTTCGGCTCAGCATCACTCTCTGCATGTGTCGGCATGTGCAACACAAACTCAGCACTCTGTTTGGGCCACCCCCGTGTCCAGCCCCACTAGTTCGCCTTGGCATACCTTCCCGCTCCACCACTGTGAGGACGGAAAGGCACACATTGCTCCTGTCAACTGACACCCTTCAGATCCTTGGTGGCTTTTGGATGTTCGTGCCCATGATGGCATGAGCAGCATCATGAACATTTTTAAAAGTAAACGTGAAGATTTGAGCTTCTGATCTGCATGATTTTATGGGGTCTCCTGTGTCAAGTGAGTGGCGAACAACTCAAAGATCAGGCTGAAGGCTCTTAATAACAGATTCCACGCCTGACACTTCTTCCTCTCGCCCAGACAGCCTTGCACGGAGCTGGGTGTGGGGGCTGAGGGCTCTCAACCTCCTTGCCCCGGAATCCCCAGCTCGCCGGATGCTGCCTTCACCCTCCTCCTTGCACTCCTCCTTTATGCCCTCTGACCCTAAATCCACTCTGAGAACAGCTCTCCCCCAAACAGGACCCACTCTGCGTGCCTCTTCTCCCCTCTGTTTCCTCCTGCTCTTCCCCCAAAGCCATCTCTGTGGCTTCATGGGACTAAACGAAGCCTGCTAACGGCAGCACCCTTTCCCTCAGGTTCCTCTCTGCTTTCGGGGCCAGGAGCACACTCTTTGGCACTTTCATCTCTAAATTTTCCTGAGCGTAAGTCAGAGACCCACACCTTGCTCCTCTCTTGGTCTCACTCCCTTATCTCCCTTATGTAACTCCAATGCTTCACCTCAATGCCTGTCACCTGGGGGCTCTCTCACACGCTGGCCCAGCCCTTTAATCATGAGGGTTCCCCTGTCCCCACAAAGGCCCCCTCTACCCCTGGAGAGCCTTCAGCCTCCAGGTTGCACAATAGCATGGCATCTGAGCTGAAAGCCCCTGAGGAGCTGGAGTGGGAGGAAGAGAGAAGGAAGGAAATGTTTGCTCCCACCACCCTCCTCACCCTCCAACTGCCCCTTTAAATATTTGCCTAAGCCTTAGCAGCAAGTGTGCTAGGAGTGAGAGAGGAGGAGGGAGTGTGTGTGTTGGGGAGAAGGATCCCCTCCGCTGTGTGCAGCCTCAGCTTTGTGCAGGTGCCAGATGCAGGAGACAGCCGCCTGCAGTGCCCACCCCTGCCCACCCCCAGGGCCCCCCTGCTGCCACCCCCAGTCGTCCCGGCAACACTGGGATTGATGGGCTGACTCACCCGTTCTGGGCCTATGCCAGGTGGGCAGCAGGCCATTGGAAGAGCCAAGGATAACTAGAAGCATCTCAGGGTCCCTGTGGCATCTCTGGGGGCCACCCTGTCCAGCTGCAGGCTTGCTCAGAGCAGGTCCTGCGTTAGGGGTCGCTGTCCTGACTGGATGAAAGGAGACCGGGCTCTTTCTTGAAGAGAAGTTGCTGCTCTTCGGTCTCCAGTCCCCCTACAGGCTGCCCTCAAGCTCTAGTTCCCATAAGCCCATAGTTCTTTTTTTTTTTTTTTACCTGTTTTTGCCTGTTGGGAGGTTGGAAAGGAATGATGCCTTCCAGCTTCATGAGGGACATTCAGAGGCTGGCACCAAACTGGTAGAGGTCTTGGGAACCTTGGAGAAGGAAGGTGGGAGGGACCTTTCCCTGGGCAAGTATAGCCGTCCCCTTGCCCCACACCCCGGCCCTCTCTGTGGCCTTATCATCTTTTGGCCTTTACTTAGGCCATTTCTCCTTCTTGGAGAGCCCACCCTCAAAGCCTTTCCAACTCTCGGAGTACCACCTACCCTAAAAGGCCAAGCAAAACCCAAGGATGCCCACTCTGTGACCTCACCACCCAGCCCACGGGGCCTCATTCCTCCTCCAAAATCTCCCAGGTGTCCTGCTGCACACTCACCTGCCACTTAGCATGCGCTGTTGTTTTCATCAGCTCCGTGGGTGCTCTTATCTTCCCAACCTGGCTGTCAGCTGTGTGACCCTCCCTGGGATCAAGCGTTCCTGAGGCTTCCGTGTACCTGCTGCTGGGAAAGGAGCGTGCACACAGCCGACGAGTGATTATAGTCAATGATAAGGCTGTTGTCAGCCAACATGAGGGGAACTGTCATGGCCCAACATGAGGGGTTCCTCGAAAGGGGCCAGTGGTTCATTCATTCAGTACGTGAAGGTCTTAGCGCATCACTGGCCGACTCTGGGACCCTGAATGAGACATTCTGCCTTTCTAGGCTTTTGAGCGTTCATCTGTACAATGGGACTGGTACCGCCTGTCCTGCCCCCCTCTCCACGCTCTTGTGAGGATAGGATGACATCTCGATGTGAAAATCTGATCGTCAGGATTATCATTATCTTCGCCTCCCAGGGCACCTCTCCTCCCTGGCTAGGAGCAGGGCCCAGCCCCCTTGCTGTCTGGGTCAGTGCCTCCGAGAACCCTGACAGTGGAGAGCCCCATGGGAGCCACTGCTTTTGTGTGTGTCCCCTCAGCTGCAGGGGTGGGACAGGATTCACTCTGCTCTTTGTGTCCTGGGCAGAGCTGTGCCAGGGACGAGCGGGGATGGTTGCCCAGCTGCCCTGGCCACCCTCCCCGCCCCCACTGCTTGTCTTCCCACAAGCTGGAGTGGGAGGGTGGCCTGGGCAGCTGGACAGGCAGTGGCAAGTGGGCATCAAAGGGCAAGGGCATCCCTGGCACGAACTGAGCTCAGACCAGAGAATCCCCTGCTGGCAGAGGCTGGGGACGGCAGGGAAGCATCTCGCTCCCAGTGGTCCAGGTTTCTGGGACGGACGTGGAAAGAGCACAGGACAGAGAGCCCAGCCAGCGGACCTCCAGGCCCCCCTGTCTTGTACCCAGGGGGCAGTTGGGACAGTCATCCCCATGGCACCGCACCCCTCCCCCAGAGGCGACGTGGTAAAGAGCGGCTGCTGTGGCACTGTTTGGTTTCAGGGTCCCTTAACACCCTTGAGAAGCGTTGAGGACCCCAAAGAACTTTTGTTTCTGTGGGTTATATGCATTAATATAACGTCGAGCATACTGGTATTTACTGAGAAATTTTAAAATATCAATAAATTAAATTAAAATGGCAATAATAAATCCATGATGTATTATAACATAACATACATTTTTAATGGAATTAACTATTTTACAAAGCAAAACAAAATAGAGAGAAGTGTCATTGTTTTACATTTTTACAAATTTCTTTCATTTCTGGCTGGATAGAAGATCCCTCTGCAGCCCCTGGAAAATTCCAGGGCACTCTGTGAGGACATGAACGTGAAAAGGGCAAATAATGTCTTCACATTAGGAGGATAATTGACTTGACCTCCAACAGTCCCTGGAAGCTGCTCAGGGCCTGGGGCTGCCTGGACCACTCTCAGAGAAGCCGGTGCAGGGACGACTGCGAGTGGCCGGGGCAGGTGGGCAAGACGGTTTAAACGCCTGCTCCGCCACTTTCTTCTCCTGGTACCACAGGCCCTCCCTCTTCTTATCTGTAAAAGGGGTGATATCATCCACCTCAAAACGTGGAGAGGGTAACTAAGTAGAGTCCGCAGCACACAGTAGGTGTGCTGTCAAGCTTGGCTCCTTTCCTCTAGGCCTGGGCCTCCGTTCCCTCGTTTGTTCAGCCAGGCTCTGGGTGGAACACTGCGGAGGCTCCTCCGGGCTCCAGCAGGCTGTGGTCGGCCCTGCGACATGCCCCGGAACTCCGCACATTCCCGCTCCAGCTGCAAGGACCACTGTCCCTTTTCAGCTCGCTCGGACACAAAGGCGCATTCTGTTCATGGGCCGTGGGAACACATGTGAACAGATACACTCCTGTCACCTATGGCCCTAGACTCTGCCCAGAGGGTGTGTCGCCTGAGGACCAGCCTGGGGCGCAGAGGCACTTGGCTCCCGAAGCCGACGTGCCTCACAAGTGGATCGGTGCCTGCACCAGCAGAGACAGGTGTGCACACACGCACACGGCCATGCCACCCCAGGATGCACACGTCACCTCACACACGTGCACTCGCGCACAGACGCTCTGGGTACCGGACACACAAGCAGATGGCCCAGACGCCGCCGGCGGGGCATGCAGCCTAGAGCGGCCAGGGCCGCAACCGCTCTCTTCTCTGACACTCCCTGCAGGGGACTCCCCCTCCGCCCTGCGCGCCCCCGTCGCCGCAGTCCGCGGCCACCCCAGCCCTACAGCGCTTCGCTCCGCTCCGCTTGCTGCGCGCATCCATCTGCGTCGCTCGCGCGAACGAGCAGGGCAGGGAAGCGCAGGCGGCGCGGAGGGCTGGAGTTCGCTCTCCGAGGCGGACAGCCGGTTCCTCGCTGCCGCAGGGGCTGCCGGTGGCCTGGCGGTGCCAACTCGCAGCCGGGCAGGGAGCGGCGGGGCGGGGACGGCCGGGCCTGGAGGCAGAGCTCGCGGGCAGCATGGCGGGGCTGCGGACCAGGCGGGGCTCCGGGCTCCGGTTGCTGGCGCTGTCCGCGCTGGGCTTCTGCCTGATACTGCAGGTCAGTGCCAAGAGGCCCCCCAAAACGCCCCCCTGTCCACCCAGCTGCTCCTGCACCAGGGACACGGCCTTCTGCGTGGACTCTAAAGCAGTGCCCAGGAACCTGCCCGCCGAGGTCATCTCTCTGTGAGTGCCCAGCCCTGGCCCCGGGGGGAGGTGGGGCAACATGGTGAGCCCACAGCGGGAGGAAGGCAAGGACCACTCTGGGAAACGACGGGAAGAACCCCATTCTCCCTCACAGAGTGTGGGGGCCAGGAGCACCCCAGGGGTCCTCAGGACCGGAGACTCAAGGTATCAGCTAGGCAGGGAGTTGTGCAGTCCTGCAGGCTCAGCAGCCATGGCTGGGGAAAACAGGAGTTCGCTGCCAAGAATGAATCATCAGCACCAGCAACGCCAATAAGACCTACTGTGTGCAGAGCTCTGGACTTGGGAGGTGGGGATGGGGGGATGGGGGTTGCTTACCCCAGCATTGGGGCCCCCGCCTGGGATGTCACGCCAAGGACAGAAAGGCTTGTTGGGGGAGGGAGGGAGGCAGTAGGGGGAGGGGTGGGACTGAGATACACCCACACAGCACCCTGGCTTGGGGCAGATGCCTGCCACTGAGCTCTCAGCCACTCTGCACCCAGCCAACCAGCCTGTCTCACTTGCAGTGGCCTCTGGGGACCAGACATGCTGTGCGGTTCTTGAGAGCAAGATGCTAATCCCCAACCTAGAGCCCCATCCCAGCGGATCTGCAAAGTGTGGCTAATGGCACCTTCTTCTGGCTGAGGGGAAAGCTGGGCCGGGGGCCACTGGTGCTGGGGAGGCAGCAGGGGAGGGCGATGATGCAGGCAGGCAGTGAGGAGAAGTGAAAGACAGCCCCAGGTGGAGGGCAGGCTGGAGACAGGGAGTTTCCAGGGCGAGTGAGTGCAGCCAGAAGCCATTGCCTGTCCACCGCATTGGTCCAGGGGGTCCCTGCTACCTCCGCAGCACTGACTCTGATCACCTCCGCAGGACGCTGGTGAATGCTGCCTTCTCCGAGATCCAAGCCGGAGCATTTTCCCACCTGCCGCTGCTGCAGTTCCTGTAAGGACAGGGCCTTGCGGGAGGGGTGGTGGCTTGGCGAGGGCAGTGGGAGGGGACAGACAGATCCTGGATGGGGAGAGGAAAGCCCATGTAGGTAGCCTTTGGAGATTAGCACACAGGTCCCCCCTACTGTCTCCCCTGATGGGATATGCCACAAAAGGTGACACAGCCTGGAGTCTAGAAGGGTGGAAAGAACAGCAGGTGGGAAGGAGGGCAGGGTTTGCACATCAAAGCCAAGAAGTGAGTATTTGGGGCTTAGATAGGATGGACTTACCTCCTCTAGGGGCCCAAAGGAATTGGATGCAGTAACTTGGACTGGTGCCAGGGGGTGGACACTGCAGGGGAGAGGGGCCGTCTTAGAGACAGGTGATCCCAGGGCTTGAAGAAAGAGCTGAGGGCCGAATGGAGGGAAGACTAGGGGGCTAGAACTCTAAAAGGGGCTGTTTACAGTCGAAGCCCCAGCCACGGGAGAGTGTACATGAGGGTTACCCCACCTTCTCACTGTCAGCCCCAGAGGGAACGGACAGGGCCTGGGTGGGAGCGGGAGACAGAGCAGAGGTGCCACGGGGAAGGACCTAGCTTGCCAGGAGAGATCTGCCCTGACTGTTTTCACCTCAGGGGCCAACATGGACCCTGGGAGTTTCTGGAACCAAAGCAGCCTCCTGCCTGGTCTTGCTACTCCTGCCTGGTCTTGTGGGGTTCTCTGCTGGGGTCCCGCGGGTGGGAGGCAGGGCAGGCAGGCTGTGAGGAAGCCTGGGGTGGGGCAGGAAGCTCTAATTCTGCCTTTGTCTCTCCAGGTTACTCAACTCCAACAAGTTCACGCTGATCGGAGACAACGCCTTCACAGGACTGTCGCACCTGCAATACCTGTGCGTGGGAAGGAAAGGGGAGGGTCTGGGTGGGCTCAGAGAGAGGCTGAAGGAAGAAGGCTGAGGAGGTGACAGCTCTTGAGTCTTCTGACTGCAGGACCCAAGGCAGGCGGAGGTCATTGCCTCCGTCCCTCTGCCTAAACCATCCTGCCTGGATGTTCTGTCACCACAGGCTTAATGTCACCAGATTTGGAATGGAAGCCTGTCTGGGGACCGTGGGCCGGGAACCAGGCGTGGCGTAGGGAAATCAGTGAGGGAGGGCGTCCTGGGATCCCAAGTGGTGGCTGAGTCAATTCCCATCCCTCCAGCTTCATAGAGAACAATGACATCTGGGCACTATCCAAGTTCACTTTCAGAGGGCTCAAGTCTTTAACACACCTGTAAGTACCTCCCCCACACATTCATTCATGGAGCCAAAACACCACCCCACCACACCCCAACCACCTCCATCCCTGGCTCCTGCGGCCTTTGGCCTCAGTCACCATCTTCAGGTGACCCACAGGTCTCTCTTGCAGCTCCCTGGCCAACAATAACCTGCAGACACTGCCTAGAGACATCTTTCGGCCATTGGACATCCTGAGTGACTTGTAAGGCCTGAGTCCTAGCTCTGTGGACAGTGCCACGGAAGGGGCGCGTCCCTAGAGGGGGTGGTGTGGGAGCCAGGATTGGGAAGATCATAAAGTCTTGGGAGGCACTGAGGGCTTGGTCTGGGGTGGGGAGAGGGCTCCAGAAGGTTAGGGAGAATTACATATAGATTGGCAGCCTTCCAAGTTGGGGTTCCTCGTGGCATCTATGGGCCCTCTTAAAATTCACATGAGACACTCTGTGTGTGTTTTTTAAACTTGTGCTTTCTAAATGTAAGTTCGATGTGAACCTACAGTAAAGTCCAATAGCATAGCCACAGTCATCGATCAGTATTTCCACAAGAGACCTGTCTTGCGGAAGGGTGGGGGGCAGTGGGGTGCAACACAGGGCTGAGCATGTTATACACTGCAAAAGGCACCTGGCCAAGGAGGCAGGGAGGGGCAGCACCCAGCCCCCACTCCAGTGACCGAGTCCGAGTCCCCAGGGCTGCATGCACCCTAAGGGGAACATCTTTCTAATGGGTACAAAAACGCCATGTGAGCAACCAGCAGCAGCCTTGACAATATCTACCTGTGAAACCTTGAGGGCCTGGGTGGACCGAGCAGCTGAGAGCCTGTCCCTCTTTAAGTGCCCTCCATCACCCTCATGATCAGGGACCTGCGGGGCAACTCTCTCAACTGCGACTGCAAGGTCAAGTGGCTGGTGGAGTGGCTGGCCCACACCAACACCACGGCGGCCCCCATCTACTGCGCCAGCCCGCCCCGCTTCCAAGAGCACAAGGTGCAGGACTTGCCTCTGCGGGAGTTCGACTGCATCACCACAGGTGGGAGGGGCCCCCCCTGCCTCTGGGCTCAGGCTGGGCCTCCCCAAAGCAGCGCCGCAGGCATGGCCAACCCCCCAGCCCCCTGCATTGCCTGCTAAACAGCCCTTACCACCCAAAAAACTCTTGCTCTTCTTCCTTCCCACACCCCACCATCCCTGCAGATTTTGTGCTGTACCAGACCCTGTCCTTCCCAGCGGTGTCAGCTGAGCCCTTCCTTTACTCAAGTGACCTCTACGTGGCTCTGGCCCAGCCAGGCGCCAGCGCTTGCACTGTCCTCAAGTGGGACTACGTTGAACGGCAGCTTCGAGATTATGATAGAATCCCAGGTACCTGTGCCCGGCCTGGCTGTGCTGGCCCCAGCTAGGAGAATGGGGGTGGGGTGGGGTACTCCATTGAGGCCCTTTGGGGAGAGGGACAGATAAGACATGGCCTGTGCTCATAAGAATGTTCTAGTCTTTGGAGGGAGGCTGATACATACATAGATAACATCTATATAATAGGTTGGTGCTAGGAAGGAGATAAGAACACCGTGTACTGGGAACACAAACGAGAGGCCTACTGAGGGCAATCAAGGAAGGCTTCCTGGTGGAGGGGATGCTTACACTGAATCTCGATGGGAGAGGAAGGAGTCAGAGGTGATGCCTAAGTTCCTGGCTTAAGAAACCTGGTGGTGCCTTTGAAATGAAAAGGAGGAGATACTGAGTTTAAGCTGAGTCCAGGAGCCTGAGGGAGACGTAGCTAGGAAGAAAAATATGGGAAGGATATTCTGGCAGAGGGAATAGCATGAACAAAGTCAGAAAAGTATGCAACAGTTTATCATGTGAGTTCAGGCATGTATACATAATAAGCACCTTATTTGAGGTTCAAGCACCTATAGCATGAGGTTCAAGGTGGACAGTGGCAGGCCCGAGAGAGATGAGGACCAGGTCATTGTCAAGCTTTGAGAAAGTGTGTGAGCCAGTCCAGTCTATATTTTAGACAACTCCCTCTGTGAGCATTGTGGAGCATGGCCAGGCATGGGGCTGGACACGTGGGCAGACTGGCGGGGGAGCTAGCTGGAGCCTGGACTGGGGCAGTAGCAGTGGGGATGGAGACATTTAGAAAATGGGTTTACATGTAGAAAAGAGGATCAAACTGAGACAATAGGAAACAAAATTGAAATCGTCCTGTGTCTACGAAAGAACTTGAAGTCATTATTAACAGTGCCTCCCCCCAAGACTCCAGATCCAAATGGTTTCTCTGACGAATTCTAGCAAACACTAAAGGGAGAAATAATGCCAATCTTACACAAACTGTTCTATCAATGGGATACAGAAGGGAGGGCTGACAGAACTTGGGGACCGATCAGCTGTGTGCGAGTGCGGGACAGGGCGGTTCTGGGATGGCTCCCAGGTATCTGGGTGGGATGACTGAGTGGAGCCACAAATTGGCATCAAGAACACGGGGGTGGGAGCAGGTTTGGGGGTAGGTATGAGTTCGGTTTTGGCCAGCTGGAGTTCGAAGGGCTTGAGGGTGTTCAGCAAGGAGAGTCTGAGCGCTGTGGTTCAGGAGCAGGCTGTCCGGAGCTGGGCGGGCAGCACGGAGCCTGAGGCTGTGTGTGGGCTTCCCTTGGGGAGGGGAGCGGTTGGGAGGGCTGGAGGGTGGGCACAGGTGATGACCGGAAATGCCAGGACAGGTGAGGAATGTGACACCGCATCCCTGCTTCCCGGCAGCCCCCTCAGCCGTACACTGCAAGCCCATGGTGGTGGACAGTCAGCTGTACATGGTGGTGGCCCAGCTGTTTGGTGGCTCTTACATTTACCACTGGGACCCCAACACCACACGCTTTACCAAGCTGCAGGACATCGACCCGCAGCGCGTACGCAAGCCCAACGACCTGGAGGCCTTTCGCATCGATGGTGACTGGTACTTTGCCGTGGCCGACAGCTCCAAGGCGGGTGCCACCAGCCTCTATCGCTGGCACCAGAATGGCTTCTACTCCCACCAGGCCCTGCACCCCTGGCATCGTGATACCGACCTGGAGTTCGTGGACGGTGAGGGCAAGCCTCGGCTGATTGTGTCGAGTAGCTCCCAGGCACCGGTCATCTATCAGTGGAGTCGCACCCAGAAGCAGTTTGTGGCCCAGGGCGAGGTTTCTCAGGTGCCTGACGCCCAGGCTGTGAAACACTTCCGTGCTGGACGCGACAGCTACCTGTGCCTCAGCCGATACATAGGGGACTCCAAAATCTTGCGCTGGGAGGGCACCCGCTTCTCCGAGGTGCAGGCCCTGCCCTCCCGGGGCTCACTGGCCCTGCAGCCCTTCCTTGTGGGTGGCCGCCGCTACCTGGCACTGGGCAGTGACTTCTCCTTCACCCAGGTTTACCAGTGGGATGAGGGGCGGCAGAAGTTTGTCAGGTTCCAGGAGCTGGCCGTGCAGGCCCCTCGGGCCTTCTGCTACATGCCTGCAGGGGACGCCCAGCTGCTGCTGGCCCCCAGCTTCAAGGGACAGACACTTGTGTACCGGCACGTGGTGGTGGATCTCAGTGCCTAGAGGGCTGCCAAGCCTCTGGATTGGAGGCTGAGGGAGAGGCTCTGCGTGAGCAGCGTGTGTGCCCATGTGAGGATACATGTAGCCAATCTCACACACGCCCCTGGTGAGCGCGGGCACCACGTGGACTGGCTCCGAGAGCTGCTTGCCATAGTTGTAATCAGCATGAGGACTTGTATGTGCACCAGGCAACCCAGTGCCTGGGGCCCTCCCATCTGTGGACACCTGTGGACCCCACAACCCATCTGCAGGCCCCCTCCACTGCTGCCTTCCACAAGCTCTGGCCTGGGGAGGGGGGAGGCTGTTGGGAGGGAGGGTCTTGGGCTGATCCTTCTGATGCTCTGGTCTCTCCTTGTTGGTGCTCCAGGGGTCCATTTCACCTGCTCGTGCCGCACACTGCAGCCACAGCCTTCCACTGCGGGTACACTCACCTACTCGCCACTCCTCCTGCATGTTCACCTGGGATCTGACCCACACCCTCAGTCACACACACACATCTGTCCACACCCCCGTTTCCTAGTGCAAACCTGCAGATTCAGCGCTGCCAAAGGGTCTCTCTGCCATTACATTATTGCCTCTCTGCTTGGAGGGGGCACACAGTACTGCCCGGCTATGCTCATCCTGGTGTCCCCACCCTGCTTCTGGGCACCAGCTTGACCTCCTGGGGGTACAGCCCCTCTGCCCAAAGCAATAACAGCAGCAGCCCTGGAAGACCCTTCCTCCTCTGTCTTCACTGGGGCTTTGTGCCCTGACCCTGTCACCCGAACTGGAGACCACCCAGACAAAAGCCTTTCTATTTTTCCTTCCTGTAGCTGTCCCAGCCTAGACCCCTGCCCCTGTCCCCTGGTTCAGCCCCTTCTTTGGGATGTGGCTCCTCAGCTGCACTGCTGGCTCCTCTGGTTAGGTCCCAGAGCTGGCCTGGCCAGGGACGCTGCAAGCACTTGGGGCATCTGGAGGGTGCAGGAGTAGAGCTGGGCTGGAGAGCAATTTGGGATCTCTGGCGCCCCTCCAGCCCACAGATGCACAGTCCAGGAGCACTGCCTTCCAGGACAAACTGGGTGGTAGAGGGCCAAGGGCCCTGTGGGGCGGCACCGGGGAGCCAAGCTTCTGCTGCCCTCTGCTGTAAGCTGGGGACGGACAGCCGTGAGGTAGGAGGCAACGCAGCAGCCATGGGAGGGGAGGCTCTTCCCTGGCCCAGACTGTGTGAGGGGCGTCTGGTGGCAGCAAGAGGGTCTGGGGGCAGGGCTGTAACTCACTTGCTTCAAATAAAAAGTTCCCACCCCTTGCTGGCTCTCAGGTGTCCAGTGGCGACGGTCAGCAGTAACTGCTCCATGAAGAACAGAGTGTGTCGTCTGTCCTTCCTGCTCACAGGGGACAGCGTTGGCTATCAGGCCCTGTTTCTGCCTGCTCCCTTCCCTCCGAGGAGGGAGTGGGCACCCCCAAGGTCAGCTGCGGCTGGGGTCAGGAGTTCATGGTGATGATACTCAGGTGATGGATGAGTGTGATTAGTCCCCACCACCTGGGGCTGACTCATGCCCAAGTGCTCCTTCCTGGAGACCACGATCTTGTCAATTCCAATCAACACGGCCAAAGACAAGCTCAGCAGCCCCTCTCCTCCTCACCCCCTCTGCTGGGCAAATGCCTGTCATCACTACCACCCTCTGCCCTGGGTGTGGATTGATTCTGGAGCCTGAGCTTCTTTGGCAACACAGATGACAAATCCTACTTTGTCGAATCCTGACTCCGCCACTTACTCACCAGGCAGCCTTAGCCACATTACTTAGCCTGTTTGTATTTGTTTCCTTGTCTGTGAAATGTGGATGGTCACAACACCCACCTGGCAGAGTCGGTGTGAGGTTTAAATGCATTCAGTATCTAGACTAGTAACATGTGCAAGGTACTTGGAAGGGTGTGTCTGCCTCAGAAGTATGATTTTAAAAAAAAGATTTCATTTATTCATTTTAATTTTTTTAATTTATTTTTTATTGATTATGCCATTACAGTTGTTCTATTCCCCCCTTCATTCCCCTCCACCCTACCCACCATTACCCCCCTTTAGTTTATGACCATGTGTCTCAAGTCCTTTAGATTCTATATTTCCCATACTATTCTTGCTCTCCCATCTATTTTCTACCTACAGTCTATGCTACTTATTTTCTGTACCTTCTCCCCCCTTCTCCTCCTCCCACTCCCCTGTTGCTAACCCTCCTTGAGATCTTCATTTCTATGTTTCCACTCCTGATCTAGCTGTCCTTTTAGTTTGCTTTTGTTTTAGGTGTGGTTGTTAATAACTGTGAGTTTGCTGTCCTTTCACTGTTCATGTTTTTTTAACTTCTTTTTCTTAGGTAAGTCCCTTTAACATTTCATAGAATAAGGGCTTGGTGATAATGAACTCCTTGAATTTGATCTTATCTGAGAAGCACTTTATCTGTCCTTCCATTCTAAATGAAAGTTTTGCTGGATAGAGCAATCTTGGTTGTAGGTCTTTGGATTTCATGACTTGGAATACTTCTTTCCAGCCCCTTCTTGCCTGTAAGGTCTCTTTTGAGAAATCAGCTGACAGTCTGATGGGGACTCCTTTGTAGGTGACTGTCCCCTTAGCTCTTGCTGCTTCTAGGATTCTCTCCTTCATTTTAATCTTGGCTAATGTATTTATGATGTGCCTTGGTGTGTTTCTTCTTGGGTCCAACTTCTTTGGGACTCTCTGAGCTTCCTGGATTTCCTGGAAGTCTATTTCCTCTGCCAGATTGGGGAAGTTCCCCTTTATTATTTGTTCAAATAAGTTTTCCACTGGTGGCTGTTCCTTTCCCCCTTCTGGTACCCCTATAATTCGGATGTTGGAACGTTTAAAGATGTCCTGGAGGTTCCTAAGCCTCTCCTCATTTCTTTGAATTCTTGCTTCTTGACTCTTTTCTGTTTGGCCATTATTTGCTTTCTTCTGGTCCACTCCATTGATTTGAGTCCCAGTTTCCTTTTCATCGCTATTGGTTTTCTGTGCAATTCCATTCATTTCAATTAGTTTCGCCTTCATGTTTGTCTAATTTGTGACTATAATCAACCAGTTCTGTGTTTTAAACTGTGCGTCTGAGAGTTTTGCTATTTCTTCATCGCTTAAATTTATAGGCTCTGGGGCTTTGAGATCTTCTTGAGCCATTTTTGGTCTGTTCGCACCCGTTAAATATGAGGAGCGGAGCCTTGGACTCCCAGGTCGCTGGGTTGTGACGCTGTATGTGGGGGCGTGGTCAGAGCGGGGAAATGGCGGCCCCTCTGCTGTTTCTCGCCGCTGGGTGAGGAGCAGAGCCTCAGGTGGTTCACCTGGGCCGGGCCACTCAGAGTCACTGGGTTATGACACGGTCAGGCTGAAGAATTTGTTGTTAACCGACTTCCAAAAAGTTCAATTTTCTGTGTTCTGGCTGTGTTTTCTATTGCTAATATTTAGTTCTCTCTAAACTTGGTTGTGTGAGAAAGCACGGCATCTCCACCTATGGCTCCATCTTGGCGGAAGTCTCTCATTTATTCATTTTTAGATGGAAAGGAAGAGAGGGAGAAAGAGAGGGAGAGGAACATCAGCGTGTGGTTGCCTCTTGAGTGCCCCCAACTGGGGACCTGGCCCACAACCCCGGCATGTGCCCTGACTGGGCATTGAACCAGTGACCCTCTGGTTCACGGGCTGGCGCTCAATCCAGAGCCATACCATCCAGGGCAGAAGTATGATTTTTATTGGTCTGTAGGATATACGGGGCACAAGTGGCTCAGAGAAGGCTGCTTTGTGGGAGAGGAGAAGGGTGCCTTTTGGGGAGAACTGATATCCCTGGTCTCAAGGCCCCTGTGCTTCACATCTTACCTGTGGCCTCAGAGGCCAGGCCTGCCCCTGACCACTCCTCACAGTGGGGAACCTCACAGGTGATGTGTTGGAGTTTCCACCTCCTCCAACCACATTTCTGTGCTCTTGGCTTGCCAGGCGCCCCGCAGGCCCCCCAGCTGCACTGTCTTGGGAATGCTTGCCCTGATTTTTTATGTGGGGAATGGGCCCTTGTACTGTGCCAGGGACAGGTTGCCAGGCAGAGCGTGTCAAGTCTCCCAGACCCACTGGCACTCCGTCGCCCAGCAGAAAGATAAACACCACTCTGTTGTCCCTCACCCTCTCAGGGCTCCTCTCAAGAATAGAGAGACTTTTCTCCCTGAATGTCCAGCTCTCTACTCCTGCCCTGGGGGTCATCCGTGTGTCCAGAGAGCTGCTTAGCAACCCAGTGTAACTGGATGATTATGTCAACAACTCAGGACCAAAGGCCGTGAGAGGCAGAGTCCACTCTCTCTGCCGAAGCTGAAGAGGTGACCCCCAGCTGCCAGCCTCATGCCCCTCCACGCTGAGCCCTGCTCTCAGCAGCAGGCTTCTCACATCTTGTCCCTTAGACTTCCCAAGCACAGTCATCTGCATCAGGAGTCTCCATCTGAGAGAACGTCCCAGCTGGCAGGGCTTAGAGTGGGTGCAGGGAGCTCTTCCCCAGCAAATGAGGGTAGAGAGAAGCACGTGATGCTAAGGTCCCATTCATGACTCTGGAAGGTGGCTGAAATGGGGGGGAGGGAGGGGAAGAAAGCTGCTCTTCAGCAGGTACTGGAGAGCGCAAGAGTCACAGGCGCTGTCAGCCCAGGCACCCTTTTCTCCTGAAGCACAGACACCTCTTCCCTTTTCTGCAACCCCCTCCCTCACCCCGTGCCCGGAGCTGGTCCCCTATTATGTCGGTCACATCCTTCCTCTCCAAGGACTGTGCCTAGGAATGGATGGTGGGATACCAGCTACTGGCACTTCTTGCTCCTTCACTGTAGGGGGAGCCAGGCCCAGGGAGAGGGGGTGGAGAGGCGAGGTGAAGCAGTAGGTCCTCCAGGGAGCTTCCCCTGTGGGCCGGTTTCACTGCTAGCTCTCACACCCAGCCACACCAATAAAAATGATGATAATAATTATGTAGAATCACGATATGTTTTTATTTATTTACTCCCAAGAAGCCTCCTTTCCCTGGCCCCCTTCATTACTTATTTCATCCTTTTGAGGGGCAGTGGGCGTTAAATGCGGCTCCAGTAAAAAGTAATAACTGCCCATTTCCCACCCCCACAGCTCTGCGCTGTCCCAGCACAGTGTGGGAAGACACTGGGCTACCCAGTTTCACAGGGAAGGAGGCACTAAGCAGGAGAATGCAGCCCCAGGTAGAAAGTTGTAGAAGCAGCACCGTTCACCTTTTCTTTGGATCCTTTTACCTTCTTCCAGGTGTACACCTCCCTCCCAGAGGAGCGTCTTTATTCCCTGTCCCCTCCCAAAGCCACCCGTAGAAGACTGATCAAGCCCAGCATTTATCCACCTGCCACCAGGTGACATTGAGCATGTAACTTTTCACCCTGAAAGAATTTCCTAAATGGTTACGTATATACATACATACATACATAAGAGGACCTTTGTAAAGATCAATACCACGCACATAAAACTGCACTGCAAATGTCAGTCAGTGATATTAAGCTCTCAAGGATATTCGTGTTCTTGTCTCAAAGAAATAGGTGGAATTTCAAACTTCTGGTGAAGATGACATGGGGGCTGGAGGTTCTGCCCAGAATCTCTCAAATCCTCACGGTCAGCCTGCGCAGCTCTGCGGGTTCTGACAGAAGTCAACAGATGCGGGTGAAGGGTCCCTCAGGCTCCCTCTTTTCATTTCCTCCCGGTTTTCCCTCCGGTCAGCTCGGCATCTTTGAGGCCATCCTGAGCTCTTGACCCAGTGGAGTAAGACCCGGATTTGCTGGCGCCCAGCCAAGCCTCCTGCCAGTTTGTGCCTGAGCCTCAAAGGGCACCTCCACCATCTCCTGCCCGCTCCCATTTTACAGACGGGAATGGAGGCAAAGGGGCAAGCCCGTGATGAGCCCCGGAAACTCTGGAGTCCAAATCTTCGCTTCCTCCACCTTCTCCTCCTCCTCACCCCACTTTGTTTGTTGCCGCTTCCCACCCTTGGGTCTTTCCAATTAGGCCAGCTTCCTTACCACCCCGCCCCACCCGCGAGTCCGAGACGCCCCGCCCCTTAAGGTGAGGGACGTTGGCTCCCGGATCTCGCCCCGCCCCTCTCTGTCCGCACTGCGCCTGCGCCACGCGCGGGAGCTCTGGGGTTGGGCAGATCTAAGTTCCGTGCAACTTTCAAGTGAGTTGCAAACTCCGCCCTGAGGCCTGGCGCCAGGGATCTGGAGACTCACAAGAGCG